TAAACCGTTATTCCAATAACTGTTTAAAATTCATCGAATAAGTAACAACTTAAAATAAATTCAATAGTTTCAAATTCAAATACCCAAGAACATTGGAACTAAGCGGTTTAGATGAGAGACTTAAAAAAATAAGGCCTTAAGAGGAAGCACATCTTTGTATTTATCTTTAGTTTCAATAAAATATCTCGTATTCTAAAGTTAAATAAGTAAACGTAGATATGCTTACTCTCAGAAATTATCTATCTACAAACAAAAACATTAAACAACTAACATCAATGTGGTGAAACTCTCAACAATAATGAGAATGATAGTAATAAGCGTATGTTAAAAAAAAAACAAGAAACACCAAAATCTTTTCATGTTAGATATCATGCTTGTACGAAAATGGTAGCAAAAGAAATGTAATGTGAACCTACGATGCGGGTGCGTGACGCCGCGGCGGAGGACCTAAGCCCTCCTTAGGTAACGGAGGCCCGAGGTAACGAGTAACTACAGTTTAGCTCCGTCTGTCTGTATGTGGCCAACTGAAAAATTAACTCGCCTTTAACAAATCTATATTGAATTCAATAAACCGTTACCCATCCGTTCTAACTACTAAACTAACTACGACTACATTCTACTTTCAAAACGCATGCAATACTTTATAAAAAATCTTCAATATATAACCATATTCTACTATCTACTAAAATATTTTCCTCTAATAAAGTACTTCTACACATACCCTAATAAAGTAAATATATAGTTTAATATATAATATATTACTCTTGCACGATTTTATCATGCATTTAATTATTAGTCACAAATAACACACACTTAAAGTTATTCTTATTCAAACTAAAAAAAAGTTAATTAACACACAACCCAACTCATGTACGATTAATAAAATAATAAGGTTAATTTTCATCAAACGGTTCAAACTGTTAGAAATAATGCAACGTGACGTGTGCCATTTTTTTTATACTAAACAAATATCTTACGTATTTATATGATTGAATAAAAGATCCTTTAAAGTTTCAAGACGATGACACGTAACTTTGGCAATTTTGTTTCTAAAAAGATTTAAACTGTGAGTTATTTACTTAAGTGAAATTGTGCTAATATTTTTTCGATACACATTTGGAATAACGATAAATGTTAAAAATCAAGTGCTACAATATACTTTAAATATAATCGGTTTGACACACGTGTAGTAAATACTATTGCTACTAATAATTTTTATTTATTGCAATTAATATGTGAATACTTTCCTTTGTTTTAATAAACGTAAAATAAAGTGCTTACAAACTCATAAACAAAAGTCTAGAACTAAAAACAAATACAAAATAAAATGATAAGTGTTAACAAAGCAAGAAAGCATGCATGCATACTGTAACAGTCTAAAG